TTCTCATTCAATAACTCGTACCCTTCTCTTTGTGGGCCTGCGCCTTCACGATTTTAACTAAATGGTTTTAGATTGCAAGAAAAGTTTAAAGGTTGTTTGGTTAGGGGATTCGTTCCCTGATTCGAATCATGGTTCGTGGTTCGTTATAGTATTTTCTCTCACAAAAAATACTCGCACCTCTTTGAAGGTTCGTTTCTCTTTGTCTTAACAGCGTCAGAAGATGCCACAAACACCTTTTCTCTATTTTTTTTTTTTTTTTTTTTTTTTTTGTTGCAATGTTGATATTTTCCAAAATCCATAGAACTTCGGAGGCAGTCAAGAGAAGTTTTGATGGACGCCGATTCGAAATCTTTTCTTTTGATGTGAAAAATCCATGTAATTCGTTTTGATCCATTTACAAATCTCACTGGAGATGGGCTCACCGGAGCTGGGAGGCACAGTGGTTGGGGTGAATAAGCTAGGCCGTTGGGAGGACGACCTACCATAACTTCTCGTTACGATCTTGTTGAATAGAAGGAAATTTTGAGGAAAAACACAAGATAATTACTTTCTTATATAAGACAGTAAAATATCAAGTTGTAGCTGTGTAATTATCACTTATATATATGGGCTATTTGGTGATGAGGTTTGGAATAGTAAGTATGAAAAAAAAAAAAAATGGTTCAAACCACTTGAAAACAAGGTTTAAAGAGATTTACCAAACAATATTGATTTGAACAACTAGATATGTAGTTCAAACCACTTGAATTAGTTTAAATGGGCCATTAAGAAAACCACCTTTTTTCTATGAACACAGTAAAATTTAATTATAAATGTGTGTAAGAACCAACTATCTAAAATAAGGTGTCAAGAATGAAGAATCCCGTTTAAGGAGCAAAATAAATAAATAAATAAATAAATAAATTTAATTCTTGTTTTTAGCTTGGAGGAGGAAAAGTTTATTGGTTATAAGAGTAAAAATTAATTGATCTTATTTAATGGTTAAATAAGCATAAAAAGGTCTTTTTTAGCCGTTTACACTTTTGGATACGTTTATTAATGATGTAGGAAGGGACATTTTAGAAATATTTGACAGTCAAATTATGATTTCCAGTCACGGTTAACTAAGAGATGGAGTGGAAGTGTAAATTTTTCAAAAAATTGTAATTTCATCTCTCTTCTTCAATCTTTCTTCTTTATGAGATTGAGTTCTTCAAAACCCTAGCTTATTTTCCTCTTCATGAACTGTCTTTCATGACTTTAAAAGTCCTATTTAGGGACCTCTCTGTCACTTTCTCACAAAATTGGAACCTTTAGGGGGAAAAAAAAAATCACCTTCGATCTTCTTATGGCCCTTTTTTTTATTTGGTTTTGCATGCTTGTCTCCTTGAGTGGGGACGATACATACAAAATGACGAGGCAATTTCACTGTCCTGCATATAATTAGGCACATGCATATTCTCACACAACACAAATTAACCATTTTCTCTTTTCCTTTCTTGTTCACTCATTTTAACTATACAACCAAGTTTTATAACTAACCCATCCCTAATGCATTCGAGAAAATTTTCTTTTTGGTTTTCCTGTAGTATACATATAGAAAATTTTCTTCGACCTCGTGATTACAAATTATATTATAAAATGCCGTTATGTGGGGCTAATCATAGTAAACACAAATCCTTCCCCGTGATCATCGGAGAAGCTTCCCATGCCGCAAGAGGTACGGCAGTCTCCTTGGATACACAAAACCCGTCAAAAACTACAAAACCATCATTTAGCTCTCTCTTCACTTTTAATATTCATTCTTTTCATTTTATGTTCAATGGTACATATCTTTACATCATGTCATGCATGCATGGTTATGCTAACATCAAGAACACATGTCTCGTATACTCACATATCACAACTTTGAATCACATAGTATATGCACGACTTTTATGGTGACACAGGTGATATTTTTCTTACCTCGAGCCTTAGAACTGATTTTGAGGCTCTCTGGTATCCTCTCAAAGAACCCGGTGTTCCACTCATCTAAAACATTGAGTATTTTAACTAGCATTATCACCCGACTAACAATCACGAACAATTATGTATTAAGGAGCTCATTTTCCAAATTTTTACTAATTTTTTTTATAATATTTAAATAATTAAAATAATATTTTTAATAATTATTTTAAGTGACAATCATAAAAAATAGAGTTTTACAGGACTCAGACACAAGAAACGGCACCAAAAAGGGACTCCGGGGCCCTGAAAACCCTTGACTAGGCCATAGTCAGGCCATGGCCTGGCCAAGTAGCCCCAAGGGCGTACCTGGCTGGGTGCCCCTGGCCTGCCTACATGCGCATGCGCATGCCCGTGTGGCCTGCAGCGCGTACCCACTGGGCCTAGGCGTGTGCCTGGTGTGGCTTGGTGCACGGGCATCACCAAAACACGGTTTAACTCCCTTATTTTTTTATCCAAATTAAGTCAATTTTTTTTTTTAAATTTTGGCAGAGTTTCTCCTTCATTTTAACACTCCTTAAAGCATAAAAACACCTATTTAGCAACTTAAACAAATTTAAATTCCCCAAAATTCACAAAACATCTTGAAACCACAAATTCATACTTGACTAGCCTCAGGTTTTAGGTTATAACTCCTAAATCAAATTGAATTTGCAAAAACTGTGTTTGCGCCATTTAGTTAACATATGAATGAGCCTACCTTGAGAAATTCAGATCAAAACAAGCTTCTTAGCCTAGGTAACCATGTACAAACCTGAACCGGTTTCCTATTGAATTTGATTATACCCTTTTATGGAGATCCTCCTGACACATAAGAGATCATTCTGTTCCATTTTCATCGCAAAATTCAAAGGGAAACTCCTTGAAAAGACTTGAACACAGAGCTAACACTGAAACAACGGCTTACCTTAGCCCAGTTTGAGTTTTTTTTTTTTTGCAATTAAGCACCCAAAACTTACTAAACCACCAAAGATTTTCCTTATCCTTACTCGAGCCTTAATGAAAATAGAGTTTTAAGAGGTTGGAGAGTCAGAATTAGAGTTTTTAGGGCTGATAGCTTAAGCTACTTGCTTAATAGACTTTTTAAACAATTTAGCAACCAACTTAAGTACTTCACCATGAACAATGGGAGAACCTCTCTATTTTTTACGTGGGCTAACACCGAAACAATGGCTTACCTTAACCCAGTTTGAGTTTTTTTTGCAATTAAGCACCCAAAACTTACTAAACCACCAAAGATTTCTCTTATCCTCACTCGAGCCTTAATTGAAATGGAGTTTTCAGAGGTTGGAGAGTCGGACTTAGAGCTTTTAAGGCTAATAGCTTAAGCTACTTACTTAATAGACTTTTTTAAACAATTTAGCAACCAACTTCACCACGAACAATGGGAGAACCTCTCTGCTTTTTACGTGAGCTCAAAAATTTTTAAAAAAAATATAAACAATTTAACAAGTTTAATAAACAATTTAATTATAAAAGAACAATTTGTTTTCAATAATTTTTTCAATATTTTTACTCTCATTGTATAAACAATTTATTTGTTTTATCTCTTTTTTTCAGCGATTACTATTCAATCACGTGTCTACTTACTTCTTTGTGCTTAAAATTAATTCTATTTTGTTTTACTTAGGGTCCATTTAGTTCGTTGATTCGAGTTGAGATGTGACGTGATGTGAGAGCTTTTTACTGTAGTAAAAAATTTAGATGTGACTGTTTCTGAGAGCTTTTTACTGTAACAAAACTTAAATTCTAAACTCGAATCAGCGAAATGAATGAGACTTTAATTTTTTTTTTATCTAATAAGGTGTGATTTTATTTTATTTTAGTATATTTTTGTTTAATTTTAATTTTATCTAAATTATTTGTATTATTTTTATCTCATTACTATAAAAAAATTTAGTATAAATCGGTGTTAAAATAAACAAAATCAACAACAAATAATTCCAAAATAAACAAATAAATAATAATAATTAAAAAAGAAAATCGAGACTTTTTTTTTTGTCATGAGATCAAAACCACGAACGGCTGTGATTAGCGCGAGAGGACACACACAGAAAGAGATGCGTCGGATACGGGCGGAGGGACAAAATTACAGCTTTTCTGCATGTGCGCCCCACTGCATTTTCCCTTGGCCAATGAGATAATGACACACGACATGGGATTGTCGGCCACTAAAGGCTTGCGCGAGATTGTCTGTAGCTTACCTGAGCTCAATTGTTTTCTTTGATGATTTGTTGACACCTAGACGCTCGTTTTAGGCCCTGTTCATTTTGTCAATTCGATTTTAAAATTTGAGTTTTGCTATAGTAAAAAACTCTGAGAAACAGTCATATCTAACTTTTTTGCTACAGTAAAAAGCTCTCACATAACATACATCTCAACTCGAATTAAAAACTTGAATCAACGAACTAAACGGATCCTTAGTGGACGAATAGATTCGCACTACGTGGATCCCAATAACGAGGAACGCCAATTCTACAGTGACACGTAGCGATTTCATTGAAATGAGGCACCCCGAATCATTTTCTCCTCTAGGAAATAAAAAGTTTTCTCGGAGGGAAAAACGGATAAAATGTTTCGTCGTCCCCTTCGTCCTAAAAAATAAAAGGGTATTGGTAAAAATGGTTCTCAATTTATTTAGTAAGTGACAGTTTAGTTTTTATTTTTTATGTCAAACGACCCCCAACCTCTTTTAACAGGTATAATTTGATTCTTTTTGTTAACATCTATTAAATTCTTCACAGAAAATAACACGTGTTCCTCACATGACTTTTTAATACAAGGCAAATTGGTAAAAAGTCATATTAATTGATAAAAAGTCCTATTAAGCTTCCACCTCTGCTCACGCACCGATCATGGCCGACCAAGTGAACACTTTTCTAAAGCTATTTTTTTTCAAGCTGCAACGAGCCAACAACGGCCTTGCTGTATGAAACTTTTACTGAAACTCCCAATTCGCATTGGGTCATCTACAGATCAAAAACCCCATTTTGACAACCAACCATTGAAGAAGAATCTTAATCACCGCCAAAATAAGCCCAATCGTACGTTTTGTTGGCGACGTCATCAGTCAACGTGTCGGGACTGTTGGTGACCCTAATTTCTCTTTCCTCGCATTTTCTCATATCAATCTTGTCCAACCCCATGCTGTAGCTCGCGACGATCCTCAATCTCGGCAGCGAACCGATCAGTACCGTGTCGGCGCCGATTTTGGTGTTTCCCACCACGGCTTGGACTGAATCAACGTTCTCTCCTAAGAATTCTGCCATTGAAGGATAGCGCCAGAGCTTGAAGAACTTAAAGTGCTTTTTCAACTCTACTTCGAGGTAATTGAACATCGGGCATGTCGTTAGGACGCCAATGCCGTCCATTTGTTTGTTAAAATGAAAAATAATGTGAAAGAATGGGGGCTAGTGATTGAGATTCTTGTTCGATCTCTCCTACGATTAGAGGCTCCATGGCTGTGTCGAAGGGCTTCGATTTCTTGTCGATGATCTTGACAGCAACAGTGGAGCGATTGGAAAGGGATTGGGACTCATATACCTTTGCGAAGTTGTTTGAGCCCAAGAACCAGCCCAACCGGTACTTGCCGAGGATGGTGGTTGCAGTAGTTGGTGACGGAGGAGGAGGCGGAGGAGGTGGGACCCCTTCTCGCTCCATTTGATTTTGAGAAAACGGAGTTGGCTTACTCGTACTTGTGTGTTTTCAATTGTTGGAGACGAGGATTTCGATTGTTGTCTTCCTTCGTCGGCGACTGGAGTCTGACAGAAGGAAAAAAGAATAAGAAGAAGTCTTTCTAATGGGGGCATTTAAGTCATTTTATTAGAAAAAAGGTCACATGATGGGCATGTGCAATTTTCTGTGAAGAATTTAACAGTTGTTAATGGAAAGAACTAAATTGTGCCTGTTTAAAGAGGTTGGGGGTCGTTTGGCTAAGAAAAAAAAAAAGACTAAACTGTCACTTACTAAATAGGCTGGGTACCATTTTTACCAATAACCTAAAAAAAAAACTGATTCTTATTTAGTGGATGGTATAGATTTAAATTTTCTTTCTTCTTTCTCTCTCTTTCTCTTTTTTCTTCCAACGGTTTTTATAACCATTATTTTAGAAGATGCTAGTAGCGCTTTTTGAGATATTTTTCTTTCTTTCTCCGTTTTTTGTTTTTGTTAATTTTTTGTCCTTATTTCTTTCTTTTTTCCATTTTTTTCCAATAATTCAAAGGATATATGTGTGTGTATATATATATATATAATTTATTGTGGATATACTTTTGTGTAGAGTATTCGTTGGTGGTTTGAGTGTTTTTTTTTCTTTCCAATAATAAAAAATATATTTTTTGAGGAGTTTGATATTTTTAACAAAAATGAAACTAAACTAAATCTCTCATAAGCAGTTTTCATAATTTCGGTTTAAGATTAAAAAAGTTTTCAATATTTCATTAAAATTATAAAATTATTAATCCAAACTTAACCAAAGGATCATTCTATTCAAGCTTGGCTGTAATAGATAGACTAGAAATCAAGTGGCGTTCTCATGACAGTTTGAGTGGGTTTTAGCTTAATTTGTGCGGGCGGTTTGGCTAACAGTTTAGAGTTCTCAAACCGTCCAAAAATATACGACTTTCATTTCTTACACGATCTCTATATATGAGTTTTATTCTCGTATTTGTGATGTGATTCGTGGTAAAGTATTGATATTACTATCTTATCTACTCTTTTTGTTTTATTTCTAGGGTCTTGTTGTAGAAAATATTTCGTTACTTTTTGGTGAATAGAAAATGGTTTGTTATTTTTGGTGAATAGAAAATGTTTTGTTATTTAGGCCCTGTTTATTTTACCGATTCGAGTTTAGAATTTGAGTTTTGCTACAGTAGAAAGCTCTTAGAAACAGTCACATCTAACATTTTTGCTATCGTAAAAAGTTATCACATAAAGTTACATTTTAAATAGAATTAAAAATTCGAATCAGCGAACTAAACGGGCGCTAAAATGCGTCACATGATTTAGTAGCAACTTTGATACTAAACTGTGAACGCCACTACTTGTTTGTGGCATTTTTTCGGTCGAAAAAAATGAAATGTGGATAATGGGCACTAATGGGAATAATGTCATGGGAAGAGGTTAATGTGATTGGGTTTCACACTGCTCAATAGGGACCACACTGATGGAGTTAGATTAATGGGATGTCCTTTAATTTATCAACTATCAATTTATGGATCAATTATTCTTAATCAATCAAAGGAGCCTACTACATATCTAAAGTCTGGGATTATAACTAGGCTCATGCATATATATTCTAACTCAAAAAAACTTAACAAAAATTAATTTCTTTTTTCGTCTTCTTCATTAAATTTTACAATACAACTTTTATACATACAATCGATATCGATCACTCTTGAAGAAATATAGCATTATATGATTACTTTATTTTCTATTTAGATGATTGTTATTCAACTGTTTAAATTTTTTTTTTTTTTTTTTTTTTTTTTTTTGTATACAAACCTATAAAACTTTTTTTTTTCCCTGGTCGTCTTCATAGTTTTTTTGGACGTCATCATAATCATCCATTTTATGCTAAAAGGATAGTGACGTGACCATAACTATCTCTATATGTTGAAAAGATATAATGGTATAAGATTAGATAAGTTTGCATATTATAAAGGGAATTGAGACAAATTCTCTAAAAGAGTGTTTAGATTTTTAATTCTTATTCTTGATTAATATTCGTTTGAGTAAAATAACTATATTAGTTAAAATGATATTAATCAAGAGTAAGGATAAAACTCAAACTCATTTATTCTGAGAGTAAGTTCAATAATTTTTTCAATTATAAAGAGTCAGTTAATTAGGAATTTTGGGTCCGAAATTTAGAGAGGAGAAAATTGAAGAAAACGTGAATGAAATGAACAAATAATTGTTAAGCCAACAATCTGAACAAGAGAATTTTCGGTGAGAGAAGTATAGAACCAGCTCATGAGGAGAGATTATACCTCTGCCAAGCTGTGTAATCTGGGTTCACTTCACCAGGTTGATTCGCAAGAAATCTTGGAGGACAAGGTCGAGATCCGTCAATGAAATCATCGAAGCCATGAGCGATGATAATGTTGAGCATTTGGTTCTTCCACAATAGGAAATTGTCATCATCTAGCTTGATAGATAGCTGAGGGTTTACAGTAGGAATGGTAGTGATTGAACTAGGAAATTGGGATGGATTTGCAGAAGGAGTAGAATTAGAAATTTGGGTAGCTTGAGAAGATGAAATCTCAGATGGGGATGTTTCAGAGGCCATAGGATCGAGAAAGAGAAATTTCTCTGATACCAAGTTAAATAAAATAATTTGCAAAGGACAAAGAATGTTCTATATTATTTCATTATGTCTTGAATCTTTACAAAATAGCAAAGTAGCTCAGGCTTTATACAAAGAGGCAAGAAAGAAGTATAACCAACTATATACGTGTCATAAAAGGAGCCTGTGGACCACTTATACAAAGCAAATTACTAATGCAACAGGACAAAAAAGGAATGGCAATATTAATCACAAGGCCTAAGACTAATTTGGCTTAACAATAATAACTAATTATAATAAACAAGCACGTAAAGGCATTTTATTTCCTTATATATAAAGTCTCACACAACACAAGTACATGATAGATAATATTATTCTCACACACTGAAACTCGAAGTAGCTTTTGTTCACATAAATACTAATTTTCTTCTTCAACAGCATTTATTTTAAAGACATATATTTTAAGATCATATGTATTTCTTTAATTAGGCTGCAGTGAGAAATGAAGAAGTTATTGGCTCCTCATGAATATTCATGACTCTGGGAATGGTCTTGAAGAATTCTCTAAACCATTCAACAGAACGTTTGGGGATTCTTGTCAAGTTATTTTTGCGATCAATGTGGTAGATGCCAAATTTATAAGTGTAACCGGAATTCCACTCAAAGTCATCAAGAAATGTCCAAATATAGAACCCCTTCACGTTGGCTCCAGCCCTGTCCAAACAATTGGGTGTCAGTACCTAAAGCATTAATGATTATTTAGCCATTACGGTTCCAATGGTAAATTAGGATGCATGATTAATGATAACAGAAATTAAATTAAGGTCCACATATTCTTAATTACCCAAAGGCCAGTATGAGCCAACAATAATTGTTTACCCAAAGTAGTATGATAAATTAGTTTAATTACTACTTCTCCCAAATGGTTTATAATTGTTTTGGACATGAGCAAACAATAGTTTACATTTTATGTAATTATATAATTACATATAAGGACAAGCTTTTAACGGTTACGTTTACATAGTAGTTACTTATCATATATAAAAATTTAATAATGTGGTGGTATAAGAATCTAATCTCATTAATTATCGTAGACTTTTTTCTTTCGACCAACTATCTAATTTATTACAATTTCCTGATCAATATCTTATAGCTAAAATAATGATACATTATAAGCTCAACATAGATTAAAAGCCTAACACATGATAACAATGTTAGAAAGTACAATTATATTGATTAAAAGCCTAAAATTTATATATATATATATATATTCTGCTTTGACAAAGTAATACTATATATTTAAATTTTATGTAACAAAATAAGAGTGCAAATATTGGCGCTTACTTAATAGCCTTTAAGAGATGTTGTAGATGACTACGATAGTAATCTATTCTTCCAACATCATTGAGACTAGTACTATTGATCGGATCAGGAACTCCTGCAATAACAATAAAACCATATTTATAATTAATTTTTGATCAAGAACAATATATCAAATACAAATGTATTAAAAATGCACATGAATTAGTCCTGCTTTATGATTTTAATTAAAAAAAGAACAAAAAATAAAACAAAAAGTAGAGGAATTAATTATAATTTACCATTCTCAGTGATGTAAATAGGAGGGTTGTTGTAATTTTCTTTTATGTACAACACCAATTCGTCAATTCCTTGTGGATAAACGAACATCCACGTTCCATCAATCTACATCATCAATTGTAAGTTGGAATTTTGTGCACTTAGAATCAGAATCATGAATTTGAATAAATTTTCTTAATGTTGCTTAAATAATTTAAGGTAACAATTCGTTCATATATACACAAAAAAAGAAAAGATAAATGGAAGGAAAGAAAGTACCTTCTGCCCAATAGGTACACCATCTTTGGAATCTGTATCATTTTATTAGGCATGAACATTAAAGATTTAAAATATTATTATCTAATCCACATTTATTAGTTCTAGAGACAATAAACTGTATGATAATATATACTGGACTCAATTACCTGTCAGATTAACACGACTATCACCATAAGGACCTTGATTTATAACGCATGAGACATTTGAATCCTCCGCATATCTTGCAGTATAATAATTTAGACCCAAGAAATCGTACGACTTTTTTATTAGTTTCGATTCATCTTCAGTGAATTTAGGCAATCGGCATCCAACCAAAGATTTCATGATTTCTGGATAGTCTCCGAATGTAATTGGGTGAAAAACCCTGAATAAGTCATGGTATATGTATACAATAATCAATTAATCAATAATAATCACTTGAGTATAATGTGACTTTTATAATTTTATTGTACTTTTATGTTGAACCTGAGGCAGTCATTAGAAAATCGAACTATTTAGACATCATTGCAAGAACAAATTATTGTTTAGAAGACCTATAATAAGTGACATATATATGTTAGATGAGTCTCACCATCCAAGCGAGAAGTCTAGGGCTCTATAGGCTGCCAAACAAGATTCAGGTGTACGAAATTTTGGTACGACCCATAAAGATTGTATTGTTATTCCTATATTTCCCTTTTGAAGTTCCTGAAAGGAATAAACAAGGCATATAATAAATTTTTATATTTTCTAACATTATAAATATCTTATAGGAAAAGAAATATCATATGTGTTTACGTTTAGTTATAAACACGTGCGCTATTCTTTACTTATAATATATGATAGTACTTTCTTTGAACAATATAAATTGTTTGAAACAAATACCGTTTATCTAAAATTATAGTTTCAATTATATGAGTAAATACACACAGTAACCGGCATAAAAATGTGACAACAGATCTTGATTTTACCGATAGATAACTGCTGACCTTGTATTTCTTTCTATACAAGTCCACTGCTTTTGCATGAGCGAGAATTAAATGGTGAATCACGATGTAAGGTTCTGTTGCTGAGTTCCCATTAGTGCAATTTCCATTATAATGAGAACATCGTCCAGGTGCGAAAACACCAAATTCATACGCTTTGGTAGTAAAAATAACTGGCTCATTAAATGTAATCCAACTTTTCACATAATGGCCAAATGTTCTGAAGCAAAAATCCACATATGCGAGATAATCATCCCTATAAAATAAGAGAAACTTATTAATAATTGGCATAATGGTAATTTCTTATGTAATATTTTGATCTGTACATAGATTCTACTATATGTGTGTGTATATATACATATATATGTATGTATATGATGTCTTACACGAACTTCGGGCTCAAAAATCCACCATATTCATCTTCTAGAGCTTGAGGCAGATCCCAGTGAAATAAAGTCACTACTGGTTTGATGCCTACTTATAAAAAGAAAAGAAAGTCAGATCAAAACAAATTATCAAAGGAAATCAAACTAGTAGGATTGAGAATTATCAAACCCACGTTATGAGTCAAATATGATGAATACTTAAAGGACAAATAAGAAGTTATGAAATTAACCATTTCTATTAAGCGTCTCCAAGAGACTTTTGTAAAATTTGATGCCATCAAGATTCGGTTGCCCACGTCCATCTAAAATCGAAAGTAAGCTTCATTATTTTTAGATAAAAAATCGATACTTACTCAGAAATTCATAAATATATATTAGCTAATACAAAGAATAAAACTTACTTGGTAATACTCTAGACCAAGATATAGAGAATCTAAAGGAGTTGAAACCCGTTTTTTTCAGTAGGTGGATGTCGCTCTGAAAAACATTTAAGCATTTTGAGACTAAAAAACTAATAAAAATGCATCTTGAATTATTAAAACATAGATCGATCATATTTGAAAATCCCACGTAGAAAAAAGTATATTTCATTTTTGTTTTTCAATAGGTATATATATATATGTATATATGTATGTATATATATGTTCATGTATAACGGAAAAATTGTGAAAGAATATAGGAAATATACGTATTAATAAAAAAGTAGTACGTACTTATAATATATGCAGGAAGAGTTTTACTCAATTCTGCGTATGTTTACTATATTTTCTTTTCAAAAACAAAAAATGGGGTTGACGTAATTTCTTTTATTATATAGTTAGCAAGTGGAGCACTTTAAACCTCATATCTAAAATAGAATTCTTCTGCAACTTTTCCAGAGCTTCTGTCAGCTATTTTTTCTGTTAAATTCATGAGAATGGAAAGAAATGTAATTAGATAGAAGTACGATTATATACTGTACATGAAAAATAAAAGAGTATAAATTTGTATTAGACCTGGATAATTCTCAGTGAAGGTATCCCATATACTGGGTTTTCTTCCCCCAATATCCGCCGCTCCTTCATACTTTTAATAGAAAAACAAATTAAGCAATGTAATGCCACATATTATAAGTGGTATAAACTATAAAATATGATATAAACAACTAGAATTTGATGCATATACCTGATAAGCAGCTGATGCTGCTCCGAATATGAAGTCAAGTGGAAAATCTGACCGACTAATACCACGATCAAGTTGACCAACACTGCATGCCAACAAATAGGGCACAAAGAGTAATAAGAGAGAGAGATTTTGATGAGTTTCCATTCTTAGTTACTTCTACATTCTCTTGCATTCTGTATGGTGGTCTATATAGTGTCAGTTTACCAATCCATCCCAAAAGCTTAAGCTATTAGGAGGTGAGTCAACAATAGTTTTATACTTTAACACTCCCCCTCACGTGTGGGCTGGACAATGGGCAATCGTGTGGGTAAATTAATTGAAAAGCCCAACACATGAATATTTAAGTCCGAGATATATTAAAGACCCAACACGTGATAAGAATTTAAATGGGGATAAAGAGTGCAATTACGGGGGTTTGAATTCAGGACCTCCCACTCTGATACCATGTCAGTTTACCAATCCATCCCAAAAGCTTAAGCTATTAGGAGGTGGGCCAACAATAGTTTTATACTTTAACATATAGACATGACAAACATGATGGAAATAAATAAAAGCTTTGAAAAAAATTAAAAGTGGATATTGATATTAAAAGGATATTGTTTTTTTTAATTCATTTTTGGGTTGAACGATAAGTTCTAATGAATCGAAGAATGAAATATTGCATTAAAAAAATTATGTGAGTCCATCATTAAATGACAAAGTAATTAATGGTGATCATAGTTTAATACGTAGGCATACACTATATAATGGGGGCGTTTGATATGCAATAATAAGTAGATATTATATCACTGATATTTCTCAACCCATTTCCTCCGCCAAAATGTCCGGAGTTGTGTTTGGAAAAAAGAAAAATCTATTAATCTCCTCTCTCTCTCTTAGACAAATCAATTAATCTCCCCTCTCTTCAAAAGGCAGTCATGGTGATAGACGAGCGGAAGCTTTCGCGGGGTGGAGAACGGCGGCGCTGCAATATGTAATACAAGCACACAGTATGTGCAAAACGACTAATGCTTTGATTTTTAAAATAATCCTTTTAAATTACTGGTAATGAAAAATGAATGAAAATAATTAATGAGTTGAGTTTTCATAGTTGCAACTCATGGTAATAATGGAAATAACTAGTTTACGTAACTTATAAGAAGCCGATATGTAATAATAATATATGAGGCTTGTGACATCAGATTACACTATCTACCTAACCAAATCTTTTTTTCCCTTTGCTTTCTCTTTGTTTTAAGCTAATTATATCTTTTTTTCCCTTTGATTTTTCTTTGTTTTAAGCTAATTATCATGGTAGAAAGTGCTATATTTAGATTGGTTATAAGTTATACTATTTGTTATGGGTTTACACATTGTTACTTATGAGAGAATCGTTACTTAAATATTAGAAAAAACGGACCACGCAATCAAATAAACCAAAGCTTCGACACGTGCCTAGTACGTGGCACTAACTAGTATGTATGTTGGTACAAAGCAAAAGAAGAAACTAATTACACAAGAAAAAAGAGATTTGGAGAAACTAATTACATTTTTTTTTTTTTGCTTGGAAAGAATGAAAACAAATTTTTTAAAAGTTAATTGATTACTCTTAGGGAATTAGGTATAGTAATAACTTAAAAATGAATACATGACACATTAGGATTTAGGGTTTAGTGTTTAGGATTTAGGGTTTAGAGTTTAAGATTTAGGGTTTAGAGTTTAGGACAACTAAGTCATAAATAGTTTTTATTAGTAAAGATTTACTTAACCCCCGTAATAGTTTTTATATTCCAACCAATCCTTAGAGCGTTTAAAATACTGACAATGGACAAAGTAATTGTTAAATTATACTCTCATGGCAATGGGCTTAGAGCATTAACGATTTCTCCTCTCTCAACTCTCATGGCTCTTGGTAAATTATACTCGATCATATTTATTTTAGGAAACTTTATTTGAAAGGTGCTAGTCCCCGAAGCACCAATATTTTCTTCATTTTTATTTCTAAATATTAACTTAATTGTCGGCAAAATGTCAGACGTAAATATCTTCTCATCCATAACTCGTACCCATTTTTCATATCTCAACTACTGCTATTAATATTAACGGTTAATCCAACAAAATTTTCCTCAACTTTACCCTAAATTCCATTTCAGTTAACTTTTTAGTCTCTAATCTATTACTTTATTTCAGGTTTGTTTTTCTATTAGCCATACGTTAAATATTGACGTAAAGAACCCTAAATATTGATCGCTTCCGACTGGGGCATATCTATGATACATCTCTAATTTATCCACCTCCACTTAGTATGATATTATCCGTTTTGCGCCTAAGTTAGCAAGGTTTTTGTTTTTTAGCTTCACCTTAAAGACTACATACGAGATAGTATTCTTACTTATAAACCATCACTTATAACATTCTTCAAATAATATGGGACTGCACTGCTTACCCTATCCTGCCTTTTTCGCCACAAAGGTGATATCGATCTCCTCTTCGAGACTGATATCATCCTCCTCGAGTATCTCGACCCTCGCCGCCGCTCCCCGACCACGCCCTCTCCGTTTCCTAGCTATGGTGACAGAGCAAAAGATGGCGCAAGGTGAAAGAATAAAGGTTGCAGTAAATTGCAAAGGAAAATGGTTTCAATATTCTCATCTCCTTTCTTCCGAAAATCCTTACAATGCTTATAGCCTTCAGGAACTTTCTCGATTTCCCCACGGTTACAACCAACCGAGAATTGTGGAAAGAGAATAACAGAAATAACAACAGCGGAAAGAAATAACAACAAACATAAAAGACTAATCTGTCCTTCCTAAAAGTTAATTAAGGTTATGCTAATAGCATTAGCATATAACATCACCTCCCCCTCTAAAAAAAATTTCCTTGTCCTCAAGGAATGCGGAAATCAGGGAAGTGAACCTCCAGATTGTCCTTGTTTTCCCACGTAGCATCTGCTTTTGTGCTTCCCTTCCACCGGATCAACAGCTCCTCTCCGCCAGTGCCTGCCCGTGTAGCCAGAATCTCAGCAGGTTCTTGGATTGAAGTGAGGTCCCAGTTCGGGGGAGAACCGGTTCCCACTGCCTGGTCACCTACTTTCTTCTTGAGTAATGACACATGGAAGACAGGGTGAATTCGGCTCCCGGGAGGGAGCTCCAAACGGTATGCCACCTCTCCCACTCGCTCAAGGACCTGGTAAGGGCCAAAATAACTGGGAGAGAGCTTCTGGTTCTTCCAAAATTCTACAGAATGCTGGCGGTAATGTTGCAGCTTGAGGTATACCTAGTCGCCAACAGTAAATTCCCTGTCAGTGTGCTTCCTGTCATAGACTTGCTTCATGTGATTTTGAGCTGTGGCGATGTTGGTACGTAAAAGCTTCAGAATTTGATCCCTGGCGCAAAGATTTTCCTCCACTTCAATGGACTTAGCAGTCCCCGGAACATAACTAAGAAGTCTGGGAGGTGCTCGCCCATATACGGCTGTGAATGGGGTGGTCTTAGTGGCAGAATGCCAGCTGGTGTTATAGCAATACTCAGCCCACGGCACCCAGCGAACCTAATCTTTTGGCTTGGCGCCCGTGAGACACCGGAGATACATCTCAATGGTGCGATTTACCACTTCCGTCTGGCCGTCACTCTGGGGGTGGTAGGCAGAGGTGAAATTGAAATTAGTTCCTTAGAGCCTGAATAACTCAGTCCAAAATCGGCTGGTAAAAGTAGGATCCCGATCACAAACAATGGAATGAGGCATTCCATAAAGGCGAAAGATGTGCTCAAAGAACAACTGAGCTACTGTTTCGGCCTTGTACGGGTGCGCCAGCGGAATGAAATGGCCATATTTGGTTAGCCTGTCCACAACCACCAGCAAGACTGTTTTGCCTTGAGATTTAGGAAGTCCTTCCACAAAGTTCATGGAGATGTCCGACCAAATTTGTGAGGGAATTGGGAGGGGTTGCAACAGCCCTCCCGGAAGTTATTGGTCGACCTTGTTCCGTTGGCAAGTATCACACTGCCGAACCTAGTCCTTCACCCTATCCTTCATGTGCTTCCAATGAAAGCTTTCTTTGATGCGTGTCACCGTTTTGTAGAAACCTTCATGACCTAAATCATGATACTGCTGCAGAACTATGGGGACAAAATCGGAGTCCTCTGGCAAGTAGATCCGATCTTTGTAGAAAACCACCCGTTTCTTGACTGCCCATGGTGAGCTTAAGGCCCCTTCCTCAATGTTTTTTCGCAAACTCCGGAGCTCATCATTCTTCTCATTCCATTCTTCCACCGATTCCCACCAAGTTGGAATTGGTAAAGATAAAGCACATAAGACAGCACCCTCCTCCCGTCGAGACAACCCGTCCGCCACTTGATTATTTTTGCCCAGCTTGTACTCAATAAGAAAGTCATACCCTATGAGTTTTATTATCCACCTTTGCTGCATTTCAGTGGTGATCTGTTGTTCCAACAAGAACTTCAAACTTTTATGATCGGTTCGAACACGAAAACGCCGGCCTAGCAAGTAAGGCCTCCAATGTTGCACGGCAAGAGCTAAAGCCATCAATTCCTTCTCATAGACAGATAGATAAACATTCCTGCCCTTAAGTGTCGCGCTATAAAACGTAATGGGGCGTCCCTGCTGCATTAGCACCGCTCCTATTCCTCTCTTTGCTGCATCACACTCCACCACAAATTCCATGGTGAAATCCGGTAGAGCTAGGACTGGTGCTTCCGTCATTCTTCAAATGTGCGAACGCCTCAGCTGTCTCCATTTCCCAATGGAAATTTCCTTTCTTGAGTAGCTCGGTCAAGGGCCGAGCTATGTGTCCATAACCCGCAATAAGCCGACGATAGTATCCGGTTAACCCCAAGAATCCTCTAAGCTCCTTCACATTTTTTGGTTGTGGCCAAGTTTGCATTGCCTTTATTTTACTAGGATCGGCTTTGACCCCATCCGCACAAATAATATGGCCAAGATAAGATATTTCGTCCTTGGCCAGAGAACATTTCTCTTTTCTTACCATCAGCAGGTTGCATTCCAATATCTCAAAGACTTTCTCCAAATGGAGCCAATGCTCCCGCAACGTCGGACTGACACCAATATGTCATCAAAAAACACAAGAACAAATTTCCTCAATACCCCCTTAAACACGTCGTGCATGATGCTCTGAAATGTCGATG